TTTTTTTTTTTTGTATAATCCAAAGAATGTTCTGGACTGTATAAATTGTTCAAAAGCAGATGCTCTGTAAGTTAGGGGCTAGGTATGTCTAACAGTTCTTTTCACAACAGCTAGCTTTGTGTTGAGCTTTGCTTAGATACTTTTAATCATGGCTACTTATATAGTCTTATATTTTGGACTATATTTAATTGTATTGAAGTACAGGCAGTCCTCACACTTATGACACAATTGGTTCCTGAGAACCGAGTCTTAAGCTGAAATGTTGTAACTCGGAACCAATTTTCTCATAAGAAACAATGTTATAAATGGGGGGTTGGTTCCTGAACCAAGGCCTGATACCCTATTTTCACCAAAAATACCCCAGAATTTTGTACTTGATCAATTATAGATGAGTAATATAGCTACATTAATGTATTTATATGGTAAATAACAACCATATTGATTTGGAAGGACTTCTTTGAGGAGACTTTGCTGAACATTTTGAAGGGCTCTTGGCTGGACTTTTTGAAGGGTTCTTGGCTGGAGTCTTCTCAGGAGTGTTGGCTGCAGGTTTTTCTGGAGTCTTGTTTGCTTTCTGAAATAAAGTGTCCAAGGAAGTTTGGACAGATGTTCTTCAGGGAGATGGGCGATGCAGCGAACTTGTTCGCTGGCATGGCATCACGTTGGATCAAGTGTTGTAAAGTCAAAACTGACGTCAAAGTTGAAACAGGGTGTCAATTTATAAACAATGTAAGTGTGAAACGTTGTAACTCAAAATGTCGAGGACTGCCTGTATTGCGGTAAAGATTAGAGTACCTTTTTGTTTCTACCAGACCTGCACTTTCAATTAAATTCTCATCATCTCCGTATTATGTCGTGAGACTTCCTGTAACAGTGGGTTACTGCAGTTTATTTTAAATCTTGGATTGGGCTAATTGTAGCTTTAGATCAGAAGTTAAATGAGTATGACGTTTTCACTCTTTCTGAGCGGAAGTTTGTTCGTGTTGTATTGTTTAGGATTAGTTGCCACAATTGGCAGTTTCTGATTAGGAGAGCCCGGAACTGGAATGATGCAGGGTGAGTGCTGGAACACAACCCCCGTGGGCAGGAATGTACTGCACCTGCCAGTACTATTCCTGGTTCATGGCCACTTAACCCTATCCTTTTTTATCCTTTCTCTCTCCCTCTCCTCCCACCAGAAGCTTTTTCTTTGTAGTTGTGCATAGGGCTGCTAAAACATTTAAAGCCTTCTTTAGTGTTAAGATCCTCTGCTGTTTTATTAAATGCTGGAGCAGAAAGTTTCCAAGAGAATATTGAAATGTTTGCTTCTGGTGATTCAAATGGCAGAATTCGCCAGCAAGACAATTACCTTATTTATTGTTTCATTTCCTCTCTTCCACTTTGTCAGATATCATCATTTCTCAAATCTGGTATTATAATATCCAGTGTTGCTTTTGGAATTTCAGAATATATTTTTATGTTGTTGCAGTGCTGTATGGAAGTGAAGTGCCAGAGACATTTTTTTAATGTATAATCCTTTTATAATTTTCCATAGCTCTTTTCCTTACTAGTCTTCTGAGACACAAAAACCATTTCTCTAAATCTCATTTTACACCTGAAGCTAGTTTGCAGACATTTTCCCACTAAATATCTTGCCCCAAATGTTGAATGTGGAAATTTGAAGTTTGAAAAGAAAGTCTTACTTGAGATCCCTCATCTTCCAGCTGTGAATACTGAGGTCAACAGGACAAGATTAGGATAATTGCCCTTATTAAAATACATCTGTTGGTGATCTGATGACTGAATGAAGCTCAGGCTTTCAAGGAAGGCAGTCATAGTATCTGTATTGTTAGTATTTGTTCTTTGTAATGCATAAACCACAAATTTACAAAATAATTAATGTTCTTATATTAAAGGAATGGACCTCTGTCCTTCCTTGGCTCACTCTTCTCTCAACATTGAAAATTGTCAGAAATTAGAAAAACAAAGCTGGGCATCTTGCCATTTGGACACAGACAGTGGTGTATTGAGAAAATAAAAGGATATTACATTGTCTTAGTTAGCTTGACACTTATTTAAGGATCAAATGACTATCGAAAATTTAAAATCAAGGGTAGGACTTGGAATGGCAGATCACGTCATCGATACAAGTGTTGAGTGAGAGGCAGAGAGAGAGAAAAGAGAAGTCTATATTTGAAATTAAAAATACAGGATGCTGCGTAATAGAAAGGACATACATTATGTTCTCCCACACACCTGGCACTTTCAGTAACATTTCCTGTTACTATAAAAGTTTCTGTAAATCCAAGGCAATTTTAAACATGTTTCCATAAGGTGTACATAACTAGTAACATGTGTTTAGGGGCAAATCCCGTTTGTTTGTAGTTCTTTATAGGACAGCCTTCTAGGCCCTATGAAACACACTTTTGCATAGAGAATGGCCAAGACCTCCATGCAGATCCTTCAGTCTTTACCCACACGCTTACCATGGCTTAAACCACTACTGCTGTTGGATTCAGTGGTGGCTTCTGCAGTATAGCTGTTCTGCTGCCTGGGGGTGATTCCTCCTGGATTTATGCAGGGCACAGTCTGTTCTTTGGCCTTTTGCAGGGGGCATGCATGCAAATCAGGCTTTAGATAATTCTCATGTTAATGGTGTCTGCCTGGTTTCAGGGGGATTTAATTTTCTTCTGTGCAAAGGATGCCTTGCCTTAAAAAATGCTTTACAAAGGATATGTAAAGGTAGATTGCCTGAGTACCACCAACTGGAAATTTTCTCTGCTTTCAAAAATTGGAGCTAAAATTTTTCAGATACTGCAACTCACTTGTTGTAGTTTTAGAAACATTTTCCTGTCTTTTTAAAAATGCCTTTTTTCTCTGTGTAGTTGTTCTGTTTAAGACTTTCAAAATCGGCAAGTGGACCACTTTTGTGGGGAAATGGTAGCACTATGTAAAATGCAGTCAAATGCACAAAATGAATCGTATAGGGAAGCTTTATATATTTTGTTTCCTTGATTATTCAGCTTTTGCTTGGCTACAGTGGGAATCTTTCCACTGCACCATAATCTGGGCTGAAAATAACACTGTAGAGATGAATTAATATATACAGGTTCCCACCCCCCCTCATATAATACATGATTACATGGAGAGAATTAATCATACATCATTTTTCTGTAATTTTAAGTTTGTTTCAACATTAGGTAAATGTACACACTGGGGTTCTTTATTGATTGGCATAAAAAGACACGTTCATGGTAGGAGAGTGGGGGATGCTCTTGAAATAATATGCTGGTTTCTGATGCTTAGTGTGTTTGGTGTGTCAAATACTTTAGTACCTGATTGCAGTACATAGATGAGAATGGATATATAGACATTCAAAGACCAGGGAATACCTGAACACTGAAGAATATTTTTGTGTCATAGCTGTTTATATGCTACGTTTTATTTTGTCCGTGTCACTTGGTCTTTTTGAGTTAGGGAATGTTTTGTGCCCATTAGGTTTAGCTTAGCTTAAACCCAAGCAAGCATAGAAGACATAGAAACATGCTAAACATGCTGTTGTAATTATCTTGTACCTGAAACTGTTTTTCAAGCCAACAGTTTCAGTTATATCTGTTAAACAATATAAGTCCAAACTGGCTGTTTTGTGAATTACAGTACTTTGGACCTATTAAAGCTATCTAGTCTACTTCCCACTGAGTTGATTAAATCACTTCTGCTTGGTAGTAATTTTCTGATCAACTAACTACTTCAGTTTGTTCAAAAATCTTTCACTAAAAGATGAACTCAATGCATTTGTTATCAAGGCCAGATTGATGTGGATCAGAATATTCTTTCATTTACAGATAGAAACTAGCTGAGATTAGCGACAGTTGACCAGTCACAATACTAATGAGTAGATATGAAACTAAAAGCTAAAATATGGATAATAGGCCTGTGTGAATAGAGAAGTATTCGATTTGGATTCAGCCAATTTGGAGGACGGTGATTCGATTCGGATCACTGTCCTGAATCAATTCGGCCGAATTGGCTTTGGAAGATTTGGTGCTGATTTGGAGAGATTCGGTGATTTGGATTGGGCAGCTGCAGGTTCTCCCGTGGCTCCGCTGGCTGTGCCTGCCTCTCCCTGGGGGGCAGGGAGCCATGGGAGAAGCCCCCCATGGCTGCCCTGCCCAGCCCCAGCCCCCTGCCTGTCCCAGCCTCCTGGCACTTAAAAAGCCCTGCACATACTGGCTGCAGGAGTGATGATTGGGGCCTCTGAGTGCTGGTGGCAGAGCCCCCCTGTGCAACACAGGGCAGCACAGATTACCCCCCCTCAACACTCATGTGGCAGCTGCCCCATGGCGCGGGTGCATTGTGGCTCAGCAGGGTGCTACATGCTGTCTGGGAGCTGAGGCAGCTGGGGCTGAGCGATTTCCAGGCTCTGCCTGAGACGTGGAGCCGTCCCAGCTCCCAGGCGAATTGAACGGGGGGCTGGGGAATCGAACCACAGCTGGGCAAGCAGCAGCAGGGCAGAGCCCCTTCTCCCAGTGCTGCTGCACCTGCATCCCGTGCCTCCCTCCCCACCCCAACAGACTTACCAGCTGAAGGCAGCTGTTAGCTGCCTGTTTAGTCTATGGCCGAATCTCCAAATAGGCCGAAGCTTTTTCCAAAACTTTTCCAAATCAATTCAGATGCTTCAAATCAATTTGGAGCTTTTACTTGGTCTCCTGATTTCGATTTGGATTCGGAGATTTGCTGCCTGAATCAGGCCTAATCTCCTCTGAATCGAATCAGCTACCAAAGCTTCATGGAGCCCTTATGGATAACTTATACCATCACACAGTTAGAGACGATACTCTCTTATGTCTAGAACCATATCAGTCCCAAAAACCTAAGATGATCAGTAGTGCAATATTGAGTTGAAGGTAATGAAGAAATAACTTGAAGTCCTTCCAGAAAGCACATGACTTTCAAGCAACTCAAAAGTGCTATCTAAAAATGAATTGGAGAAATAAAATTTTTCCTTTTTACCTTCCAAGATCAAAATTAACATCTGATGCAGAAAAGGAATCCGTAATGATGTTTGGAAGAAATCTGCGACAGTTGCTGCTGACAAGTCCTGTCAGAGGCCGTACTTTGATGGGAGTTGACCCTGGGTACAAACATGGCTGTAAACTGGCAATCATTTCACCAACCAGTAAGTTTAAATTTCAAGTTTACCAACTGCTTTTTCAGCTGCTGCTTATACATATTTCTTGAATTATGAGACATAGTAGTTGTAATATAATATGCTCTGTAATATAATATGATAACTTTTTATGTTAGGTTTTAGCCTGTTGTGTTTGCATGTTAATTTTTCAAAATTCTCTGTAGACATGAGATTAAACTTCCTGTCTCTGTAATGTCTCTGCTTTAAGTAGTCATTTTCACCTGTGCAAAGTGGAAAGAGTTCTGCCATCTTGAGCTCACTTTGCACTAGTGAGAATAATTACACAAGTCAGAAGGTGATGAAGAATTGGCCTTTCAGTATGTTACAATTAAAATGGAATCACTATTTTAATATGTGCTCCATTTACCTTCTTCAAAAGTAACACTCTATGTAAGCCTTTAAAAACTGATGACTTTGCTGCTTGATTTTCTTTAATTGTATGTATTTTAAAAATTAAATTAAAAAAAAATCCTGTGGAAGGCTTGGGACCAGTAGAACTATTGAACAGGCATCATTCTTGATTGACTACAAGGGCAACCTCTCCATTGTACCAAAAAAAACCTCCTAAAATGCCACAGAATTGGAGGGAAAATTCTTCCATGGATTAAGAGCTGGTTAAAAGATAGGAAGCCAAAGGTAGGGCTAAATGATCATTTTTTAGGGTCGAGAAAAGTCAAAGGTGGTGTCCCACACATCTTGCGGAGCCCAGTTTTGTTCAAACTTTTCATCAGGATTCTGGAAATGGGGGTGCACAGTGAAATCTCCAATTTTGCAGATGATACCATACTATTCTGGGTAGTCAGATCCCAAGCTGACTGAGAGGAGCTGCAGAAAGATCTTCCCAGGTTAAGTGAGTGGGCCAAAAAATAGCAGAAAAACTGCAGTGTCAACAAGATCAAGGAAACACACGTGGGGAAAATTAGTCTCAACTATATACACAATGTTTGATTCTGAACTATGTTTTGTGATTCAGGAAAGAGACCTTGGAGTCATTGTAGGTAGTTCCCTGAAAATGTCAGGTTAGTGTGCAGCAGTGACCAAAAAAAAACATTAAGAATTTGGGTAACATTTAAAAATGGAATTGGAAACAAAACAAAGAATGTCATCATTGCATTATGCCATTATACAAATCCGTGGTGTATCCGCACCCAGAATACTATGTGCTGTTCTGGTCTCCACATCTCAAAAAGAATGTAGTATAATTGGGAAAGGTGCAGAGAAGGGCAACTAAAATGATCTGGAATATGTAGTAGTTGCCATCCCAGGAGAGACTAAAAAGGCTAAGACTCTTTAGTTTGGAAAGGAAAAAGCTGGGGGGAAATATAAGAAGTCTATAAAATCATGAAGAAAGTGGACAAAGTGAGCAGGGAACTGTTATTCACCAGAATACTAAAACTAGGGGGCACCCACTGAAATCAGTAGGGAACAGCTGTACAAGTAACAGCAGAAAGTACTTTTTTATGAGGTTGTAGAGCCAGATAGCAGAGTCAGGTTTAAAAAGGACTAAATAAACTAGTGCATTACATCTATTAATAGCTGTGAACAGAACAGTTGGAGATGTTTCCTCTGGCATTTCTAAAGCAATGATGGTAGACGCCAGAGAGGGTAATGAATAGGGGATAGATTACTTTAGATATGCCTGGTTCAGTGCTCTCCCTCTAAAGTATCCACTCCTGCTACTGCCAGAGACAGGCTACTGAGCTAGATGGACCATTAGAATCATAGAAAATTAGGGTTGGAAGGGACCTCAGGAGGCCATCTAGTCCAACCCCCTGCTCAAAACAGGACCATCCCCAACTAGATCATCCCAGCCAAGGCTTTGTCTGCCTGGGTCTTAAAAACCTACGAGGATGGAGTTTCTACAACCTCTTTGGGTAGCCTATTCCAGTGCTTTTCTACCCTCCTCATGAGAGAGCTTTTCCTAATATCTGAAATATCTAAAGTTAATCTTAATATCTAACCTAAACTTCCTTGGTAGCAATCTGAGACCATTGCTCCTTGTTCTGTCATCTGCCACCGCTGAGAACAGCCTAGCTTCACCCTCTTTGTAACCACCCCTCAGGTAGTTGAAGGCTTCTGCCTTCTGTTATCCCCCCTTAGTCTTCTCTTCTCCAGACTAAATAAGCCCAGTTCCCTCAGAGGTGTCATGTGCCCCAGCCTCCTAAACATTTTCGTTGTCCTCTGTTGGACTCTCCAATTTGTCCACAGCCTTTCTGTAGTGGGGGACACAAAACAGTACTCCAGATGTGGCCTCACCAGTGCTGAATAGAGGGAAATAATCACTTCCCTTGATCTTCTGGCAACACTCACAGTAATGCAGCCCAGTATGTTGTTATCCTTCTTAGCAACAGAGGCACACTGTTTACTCCTATTCATCTTATTGTCCACTGTAACCTGCAGGACCTTTACTACAGACCTGCCGCTTAGTTAATTGGTCCCCAGCCTGTAGTGGTACATGGATTGTTCTGTCCAAAGTGCAGGACTTTGTACTTGTCCATATTGAACTGTATGAGATTTCTTTCGGTCCAGTCCTCGAATTTGTCTAGGTCTTTCTAAATTGTAGCCTTACCCTCCAGTGTATCTACCACCCCCTCCAGCTTGGTGTTATCTGCAAACTTGTTGAAGGTTTCCCGCATCCCATCTTCCAAATTGTTGATGAAGATACTCAATGAAACTGGCCTCAGGACTGACCCATGGGGCACTCCACTTGATAGCGGGTGCCAACTAGACATTAAGCCGTAGATTACTACACTTTGACCCAGTTTTCTGTTCATCTTACGGTTCATGCATACAATCCATACTTCATTAGTTTTTTTGCAAGAATGTTCTGGGAGACTGTATCAAAAGCCTTGATAAAATCATGGTATATCATGTCCACTGCACTCCCTGCATCTATAGAGCCAGTCATCTCATCATAGAAGACAGTCAGGTTGGTCAGATAGGATTTGCCCTTGGTGAACTGATTTGATCCAGTATGGCACTTCTTATGTTTTTATAATCTGGGCTGAAGAAAACTCTGTAGAGATGTGCAAAGAATTTTTTTACTTTCTCTTCCCATTTTGTCTTTGTTTCTGTTCCAAGTATATTTCTACAGAGCAAAAAAAACCAAACCCAAATAAGGTTTGTTAATAATAATAAAGGAAAGGTTCATGGGTTTCAACAAATTTTAGTGAGACATATTTAATTTGTGATATCCCTGTAATTTTGAATTTGAACTGTTAACCTGTGATAAAATTCAGGTTACCTTTTCTTCACTAGTTTTTTAACGAGAGTTAAAAATGCCTCCTCCCCATCTTTTTTTCAGTGTAAACATACCTTTGACTTTCAGAAAGGGCTGTAACTTATTTGTCACTTGTCCTATAGAAATTGAACCATAGGCACATAGGACATACATGATGGATTTTTATACTTTGTACAAACTAAGGAATGGCCATCCACTGTTAATTTTCAGTTGCTTCCTATTTCAGTTACTTTTGGTTAATCGGAGGTGAAAGGCTATATTATACCATGACCTAAGACCACCTTGTCACCTGAGATCAGTGATGCCATGGTTTTATTGAGACTTGTGCACATCCTCCTACAGGTTAATGAAACTTGGTCAAAACGCTTCTTTTATTTGCTGCATACCAAGTCAACTCCTAATTGTTATGACCAGGTGTCTCCCTCCTTCTTATTCTAAGCAACGTTTTTGGTTTGCTTCGTATGAAGTCAAGCTTTCAAAAGTGACTTTATGTCCTTGGGCACCTCAGAATCACTAAAGAGTAAGGCTGATACGCTCCACTGGGTGAAACACATTGCCCATTGTCCTGTGGGGTTGCCCTCCAGGATCAGGCCCTCAAACCCTGGGCGTGCCTACCTGGTGTTCGTCTGTTAAAGAGATGTGCCGCCATGGAATTTTTATGGTTTACAAAGGCAACAAAAGGTGACATCCATTTCCACCCTGAGTTTCCTGACATGTTTCAACCCAGTTTGTGATACCAGGAGTTGCCACTTGCTATGTGATAAGAGCACCTAGAACACCCCATGAAGCTCAGCATTTATGCCCACTTCCATTCAAAAACACAGGTGGTGCCTGTTGCAGTCAAAAGTGGAATTCAAACGTAGTGCAATTAAGGATTGATACAACACCGTGTTCGATTAATGACAGAAAGGCTTTAATAACTATTCACACATGAGCTATAAAACTAAATGACAGAAAAAGTTTCCTTCCCAGTATTCAGTAAAAATCCTAGTATATACAAAACTCCTAGTATATGTTACCTGCAAAGAGTGTCTCTTACCAATGCAGGCAGGAAGTGGTTTCAGTCTTTGCAGTCTTCCTTGGGCATAGATCCCTCACTAGGAATGATCGGCTGTGTGCAGGTTACAGTGTTGCAATGATTTTTGTCTCTCTCCTGGGGTGCACACTCCTGGGGTGCCAGCAACTCTGTTTCATTCTTATGCTGTTTAATTGTATAGCTTTAAAGCATTCCTTCTTGATATAGTTGGTTGATTAAAGTCAGAACAAAGCAGGTAGGGAGGGACCATCACATTACAATTGCTAACTTCTCAGATCCTATTTTGGGTTGTCTAGCTGTGAAACTTGTTTTTGTAAGCTTTTGATCAGTCTGGAGGTTACACTTCAACCAAATGGGATGGGTCTTGATTGACTGAACGGGATACCTTGGAGCACTGATTGCAAGACACTGTTTTGGGTAGTTGTTTTAACAATGAGGCAGAACCGAAAATAGTCCACACCGGTGATGGTCTATGGAGATATTTGCAAAACTTCAGACATTGAATGCCTGTTCTGAAAAATATACCTTAATCAAGGGAGGATGTGTCAATAAGGAAGATACAATCATGTAAGGATATGCAGTTATTTATGAAAGGTTTATCATAATAAAACATTGAGTACGTTTTCAACTAGCACAGGAGATTAAATCAATTAGGATTGCTTTATTTTGCATTGTCCCAATCACGATCTTGCTTTCTTGTGCAAGGCGCAC